TCGAGTCATTGCTGTCAAAGTCTAAGTCGAGTCTCAAGTCTTCTTTAATTATGTCGAGTTGAGTCGCAAGTCATCAAATTTGGGACTCGAGTCCGAGTCAAGTCTCGAGTCATGTGACTCGAGTCCACAACCCTGCAGATCGCTGTAGCGCCTCAGTTCAAGCGGCACGAGAACTGATCATCTCTTCCTCTTTACTAGTTACAGCACGAAATAAACATGAATGAACATCAGAAGGTATCTTGTTTCAACCACAGAAAGACATCAGTACACACCATTTTTCAGGTTGAGGTCCATCGCTGTTAATCTGCTCACCTGTCTGGATTGTTTGTCGGACAACATGGCAGATTCGGCGTTATGATTGGTCATATAGTTTTGAACTTTAATTTCTACATGCCAGTCAAATTTTAGGAGGGAAGCGGACCACAGCAATCCCCTGCAGACTCATTCAGCTCTGCCTTCACTCTGACATGAAACACATTACACCATCACATCAGTTCACCACGAGTAACATCAGATCATCTTTAATATTAAAGGAATTGTTCACCTAAAAATGACAATCTGCTGGGAATGTATTCACCCCCTGGCCATCCAAGCTGTAGATGAGTTTGTTTCTTCATCAGGTTTGGAGAAATGTAGCATTGCATCAGTGTCTCAGCAATGGATGCTCTGCAGTGAATGGGTGCCGTCAGAATGAGAGTCCAAACAGCTGATAAAAACATCACAATAATCCACAAGTAATCCACAGCACTCCAGTCCATCAGTTAACATCTGGAGAAGACAAAAGCTGAAACTAATCCAGCAATGGGATGGACTTTTTCACTGTAGGAAGTGTTATTATGGATTATGCTCTCATATTTTAGTTAAAAACATCATAATGATAGATTTGTTTCTTTTTTGGGGTGAACTATTCCTTTAAATGACAAATCATGGAGGTGAAATGTGTTTCAAATGCTGCTTTATCTATAGGCACCCAATTCCAAGGCACCCCACTGTCCACAACAATATTCAAAGACCCTTTTTTACTGAAGTTAGGAGTGTCTGTATTTTAACTAAGTGTCTGTATTTTAACTAAGTATCTAAAATAATTATATAATGATAAAAAAAAAAAAAACTAAAATAATAAAATAAAAGAATTAAATTGTAGCATTCCAAAAGTTTGGGAGCGAAATGAATTCTTGTGGGTGAAATCAATATATTTTGCTTCTTTCTGTTCTTTTTTTTATTTAAAGCTTGGTTTGTCTTATATTAATGCATGTAGTCTTGGTTCCCTGTGGTTGAGAATCATTGATCTGGACTCTTCAGAGAGTCAGTCATTATCTTATATTCATATGTTCTGTGTGTGATTTATCTTAAAGTATTAAAAGTGTTGGGTTAATAGTTTTAGAGCCAGGTCTAATGAATTAATGTGTGTGTGTTGTGTGTTGTATAGAGGGGGCTGATGGGTATTGATTTCAGTGGCTAACTCGATCAGTGATTCAGCTGTCCTGCGTCGTCTCTGTTTCTCTGGGAGTGTGTGTTTGATGGTCAGGGCTTCTCCAGCTCTCTGTGGGGTTTCAGCGCTGCGCTCACACTGCTGACTTCAGCACATCATGCATATGAATATGCTTCATGGAATTCAGATGAGCATCACCTTGACTTATTTTGTCTTTTTTTGAGTGAGAAAAAGAGCAAGAAGTATCAATGATTTCTTTCAGTGCTGCTGCTGCACTGAAGGCCAAGAAAGGAAAGATGGAGAAAGTCACCGCTTTTATTGTTTTTGTTGGGTTGTTCTCTTTCTCAAGAACACATCCAGGTTATATTTCACCCCAAATTCAGAATATTTAGATCTCCTGTTTTGCTTTTGACATTGATGATTAAAGAGATGGTTCAACCCAAAACAAAAATTCAGTCATTTACTAGTTTCTGTTTTTCTGCAGAGCACAAGATAATATTTTCCACACAGTCATGGTTCATAACCCCCCCCCCCCCAAAAAAAACACG